AGGCGGGGGTGGGGGGAGTGGGGGGATTTGGATATGATCACTTATCCCAACCCTCAGCCTTGGGCTTTGGCCCCTTGGGGCTTTGTTTGTTGATTTGTTTTTAGGGAAGGAGGAAAGAGGTCTCAGTCACACTAAATCCTCCCTCGGCCCTTTCTTTATTCTGGGCCCCCAGCTGGGAGGGGGCAGAGGCTTCTGGCCAGCTAAGGGGCTCAGCCCTCATAGCTAATTGCTCATTAAAGAGCGTTAATGAGCTTCCCTTAGCCTCATCCCTGCCTAGACCATGAGGTTTCCCTACTTCTCTCTGCTGTCACTGGTGAAGGAGCCAGTCTCTCTCTCAGACCAGTCTCCCTCTGACCTCTATCTGGTGGTCAAGTCCTGGGCAGGGTCCCAGTGGGTCTCACTCTGGGCCCTGCAGAGTAGGCAGGTTCTGGGTTGTGGTGTTCCTTACCAACCAGTGTTCGTCATCCTCCCTGGACTGAGCTCTTGCCCCACCTCCATCCATCCTCCACCCCTCCACCCCCCACCTTGCCCCAGCACTTACAACTTCTCCAGCAGGGGCAGTCCCAAGAAGGATCCATTCCGGAGCCCAGTGATCTTGTTGTTGCTCAAGAGCCTGAAGGAACAGGGAGAGCACAGGAGAATGTGCTGTTACAAGCTGGAAAGTGTAGGTGGAGTGAGGATCCAGTCTCTCCATGACAACCATGTTGCATTCTGTATAAATGGCGCCCCCCAAAGTTGTACAAGGCGCAGTGCCACCTCTGCTCCAGGAGATTATAGGGAGGAGCCAGCAAATGGTTTAGGCAGACTGGTCAGCCCACTGAGCCCCAAATCAGGCATTTCTCCTGCCCTGGGTCTCCCCATGGCCTGGATCTAACTAGGGCTCTGTATGCAGGTAGGCTGAGCAGGTGCACAGTTGCAATGACACTTTATACCTTGAGACCATAGTGCCCCTTCCTGTCTTCCACAGCTCTGTCTTGCTCAAGCCCTCAGCCCAGTATTCCGAGGACAGTGGTGGGGAGAATGGCCCGGATTGGGTCAGGACTCTGGCAGGTGGAACAGAAAGTATGGAGATGGGAGGCGCTGCCCCTCCTAGGGGTCTCCAACACTTTGTGACCCGAGGACCTCACTGGAAGGGAACATTTCCATCTCTGACAGGCCCCCAACTCAGAGGGCTTCCGTGTCCCCCATCTGTCTGCAGCCTTAACAGAAAACTGATATAGAGTCCCGGGCCCAAGAGAAGCCCAGGCCTCAGCTCTTCTGCCCATTTGGAGCTGTTTATTTACCCAGGGGATGAGGAAAGAGGCCCCAGGCCAACTGTCTGAATCCACTGTGCCCACCCACTCAGCCTTTCTCTGCCAGGCTCCCTGCTGGGAGGAAGGAGTTCCAGACCGGCCCAGGGGCTCATCCCTTGCATCCCTTGAGTTAATTGCTTATTAAAAAGTTTTAATGAGCCTCTCAGTCCAAACTCTTGCCGTCCCTGGGCTGAGGCAAAGGGGTTCCCTTCTTTGCTCTTACTGGTGGACCTGCAGAGGCCAGAGGTCAGGCCTTGGGTCTTCTCTTGAGTGAGCAGCCTCTGGGCTGGACAATAAGGGAGATGGCAGAGACTGGGGACAAAGCATGAGAGGAGCTGTCAGTTTGCCCCAAAGCTCACTGGAAGTGGGTAGGTGACTTTACCAGCTGGCAGTGAGAGGATCCCAGACATGTGACCTTCTAGCTACTCCACGTTCAAGAAGCTTGTGGAGAATAGACAATGGCAGGCAGTGGAAGAGGCTTTCTGGGTCAATGGGAATGGCTGGAGACCTCATCTCCTTCCTCCCTTTTCCCCTCTCCAGATAGACCCTTCCTACCCTTCTGGTCCCCACCTAACTGACCTTCCAATGGTAGCATTTCCCAGCAAGGCCTGAAGAGTGACTGTGTGGAGGGGTTCAAGGGGAAATGCTGGGTTTCTGACGTGTTTCACAAATACACATAACATTGTCTTGATATTTCAGAAAGTATCACAGTAGTCATTATATGAGCAATTAGAACTTTCGTGAACCCCTTTATTTCATTGTATAGATTAGGATAGTTTTATTTCATATTGCACATGGTGGTAATAACTCATAAATAATCTCATCAGTGCTTAATGCCTCTAATGGCCCTGGTGGGACTGGGGTGGTCCCCTTGGTGGTGACAGGCTCTCGATGGTGTGACTTTTAAATCAAAGCCCACCTCATCTCATCTCCAGTTAATTCCCTTCATACACCCCAAGTTTGAGGTTTAGAGATTGCAATTCATGTTGGAGAAGGTGAGCGGACCTCTCAGTATCTTAGGAATGTCAGGGAGGTGTCCTGAAATGTCACCTCTCTGACACTGAAAACATGGGTGGAAAAAGGGCATCCATTTCAGCCTCCTCCCAACCGCCATGGTCTCTCCCAGGGATTGCCTCCTCCCTGGGTTCATGGGGAGGGAAGAGGATGGGGATGCTGATAGGGGCGAAGGGCATAGGGGCAAGGTGGGGGAGCGTGGAAAGACAGGGAACAGTGCTGCCAGATTAGCACAGCCTCATCCACAAAGGGGGAGGCCTGAGAACATTATTTCTCAAACTTGTGTGAAGTATAGACCTATTAAAGGGAGGGGAAAAAAGTATCTTATTCTCTGTGAATATGTCTTGAGGATTCAGTTTGAGAAACATCGACTTTAGAAATGAAAATCTGACACGATGAAAAGGCCGTCTAATAAAAAATTATCTCAAAATCATCTGTAAAAGATTTTTTAAAAAAGATCATTCATTGAAAACAGAATATTTAGTAATTCTCAAACTCCCAAGTCCCCGAGATTAAAACCTAGGATGCTAATTTGAGAACCCTGTTGAGATAGGTCTAGTGGTCGTGTTGCGGGTTACCCCACATTCTCCAGACTCTTCAGCCTTTAGCCTTTGAACCCCTTTCACATACCCCAAATTCTTCCACCTAGAGCTGACCTACAGAGGTACAATGCAAGCTATATATGCAATTCAAAATCTTCAAGTAGCAACATTTTAAAAAGTTTAAAAATTAAATTAATTTTAACAACATATTTTATTTAACCCAGTATCCAAAATGTTCTCATTTCAACATGTAATCAACATACAAAATTATTGAGATAGTTTCCGTTTTTTTCCCCTTCTACTAAGTCTTTAGAATCTGTTGTACATGCTACTCTTCCAGCACATCTCAATCCAGACGAGACACATTGCAAGTGCTAGGGAGCCACAAGTGACTAGTGGCTTTAATGCCTATCTAGTCTTCTTGTTGACAGTTCCTCCCCAGGAGGAAGTCTGGTTTGTTCGAGAGATACTGAGGCAACTGGAGGCGGTATGCATGTGTGTGTGTGGAGGGGGTGGGCGGTGGGTGGGAGCAGAGCAAAGGATTGGGGACCAGCCCCTGGCCCAGAACAGCTCATCACTGCGTCCCACCCCTCTCCACTCTGAACCTGGACCCCCTGCAGGCTAGGGCCCCTGACCCCCTCTCTCTGAGTAGCTTCTGTTGTGCTGGGGAGGAGAGGGCAGAATGGGGTGGGGGTCAGCTGCAGCCCATGCTTCCACTTCTGGCTTCCCTAACCTGGTGCAAAGTCCAGCCCTGAAGTCTTGAAATAAGATTTTTTTCTTTTTGCAGACAATATGTCCCTTATCCCCCATCTTCGAAGCCACTCACAAAAGCAGGGACACCAGGCAAACATCATTTCATCCTTCTCCAGTGGGCCCCCTTCTTGCTGCATTTCCAGTTCTTGGACAGACTTCAGGCATGTATCTATATGATTCTAGTCTCTAAATACCCAGAATTGGATCTTTTGGCGTTGATAACCTAGATAGGGCTGAGGCAATTTTACTTTAGACCCAGATCATCCAGTGAATGGTGTCAGTTGTGCTCGTAGGTTCAATTCTTCAGAGGTGGCCCAGGTGGGTCTGGTCAGGGAGGAGAGGGCAGTGATTCTGGTCTGGCATTGTTACGCACAAGTGGGAAGCTGGCAGTTACAGGGCTGCTAGTGGGGCAGATGAAAACACACACACACACACACACACACACGCACACGCACGCGAGCGCGCACTCACCCAAAGGGAAGAAAAATGTTCCCTTCACGCTACGCTATCTCATGGGAGGAAGACAGACAAGGTCGCCTCAACAATCGAGCAGGGAAGGAGGGAGCCTCGGCCCCACAGTTCTTTTCGGCGTCTCAGACACAGTGCCAATCTTGGCCCCATCTTCACAGCCCCTACCCCACCCCCAGACAGACACTTCCTGGGCCTGTACCAGCCTCTAGCCCTGCAAAAGCATGGGGAACCAGCCAGGTGGATTTCCTTCCCATCCATGCTAGCTTCACCTCACAGACTCCTGGCTCGCCCAGCCCAGCATCTTCAGCTTCTTTCTTCCCACCCTCCCTCCTCTGTCTACCACTCCAATGCCAAATTTTCATAGGAAAGCAGTCAGCCCCTGGAGTCCCCTGTTCTCTACCCCAGAGTCTGAAATTTGGCCAAGGAGAGGGGGTACACTGAGTCCATTCCAGAACTCTCTCCCAGCTAGGGTCCTATTTTAGGGAATAGAAGCAAGCGGAGTTACCACTAATGAGGCTGGAGGCCAAGGGAGCGAGTGGCTGGCGTCTACAGAGAGGCTCTGTGGCCTCTGGGAAGCCACAGGAACTCACCAGATCCCAGCCCGACATCAAAGATGACCCTGTAGGGGTCATGTGGGCACTGCTGTGTGGAGCATGGGGCCAGCACATGCCTGAACCAAATGGTTCTCCCATGTGCAGCATGAATCATACATGTTAGCCTCCTGCCCCACCCCAATAAACACAGGTGCAAAGACCACAGGTCTGGATGCCAGGGAATCTATGCTCTCCAGGGAGTCTAAGCCTGGAATTTAGGCCCTTGCCAAGGCCCTCTGGGCTTGGAAGGCTCCATCTCCAACACCTGTTGCTGGCACCTTGGCAGTATCTTAGAGAGACTATCAGTAAGGGGGAGGAGGGTGGTCTGCTTGCTGATACTAAAACACAGGCCCATAATCCACTCTGAATCATTGAGGTGACACTGGACTCCCAGCCCCTCCCACAGGTGCAGCTCCCAGAGCCCAAACATTTGCAGGGCTCACAAAGACATCTGAAACCTAAAAAAATCATAATTGCCTCTGAAATCTAAATGGTACAAACTGAGATTAATAAATGCTTAATTAAATAACTACCAAATGTTATGCTATGTCAATAAGCAATAATTATTATGTTTCATGAAGGATGGGGGTGCATTTTTATATAGTTGATATGACGGTAGAACCTCTAAAAGTGAGACTGCCTCTGGTCCACAGGCTCTGCTTTGATGCACACCCTCAGGCTAAAGACAGCCCTCCTGTGACTTCTCTTCCCTTCCAGGCTGCCCTTCATGACCATTTAGGCTGATTGTAGAGGACATAAATGTTGGAGGGGACATGCAACATTCCTGTACTTCTTATGATTCTGTCCCTGGGTTGGAAGCCTGTCCAGTCAGCCCTGAATCCCTACTGGTTAGCAGGAGACCCAGGTAGGGCTTTCCTTCCCCAGACTTTACAGGATCATGTCCTGAGACAGCCTCTGACCTCAGCTTTGAAACTGGGCTGTCCAGGTAGGGCCTGAGATCAAGGTTAAGAGAAAAAACAGTCTTGCAATGGCTCCTATGAACGTGGCTTTCTTGTCTCCTTTAATCTATCCTCTCTACAAGGGTACCCTATCTTGGTGGTGAACAGACAGAACCAAGAAATTGGGGCTGAGATGGAGAGCACTGACCGTGAGAGAGTCTGCAGCCTGAGCAAAGGTGCTATAGGTGTTTGTGGTAGGTGGTCAGTCTGCTTTGATGGGGATTTTGGGGCCCCCAGCACCCAAGTCTGACCATATGGAATAGAGTCTGCTGTGATCATTCACACCTAGGCATCCATTCATGTGTTCTTCAAACCTACA